CCATCATATGGAAAGCATGTGTTTTCGGCGGGGAGTGTCCAGTAGTCAACGGGCTGAAAGCTGTCATGTATTTTTCAAACAATATATTAACCGAAAAAACACATTGATGGAATTCATTGTACGTTTTGAAAGAGCTCTTGGTTCACAGAGGCACAAGGAGTTAATGGTTGATCATGTTGATACCAATGAAAAACCTCCACTGCCATTTTGAACACCAATGCAACATCAAATGGCACGCATTTACACTCAGGAAATTCTTGAAATGTTTGAGAGGGAAGACTTCCGAAGCCTTTTATGCTTGTTCGAACTTGTAGAGCAAGATGAGACCCAGTGCAGGTACAAAGTAAGTGAGCGGGTAAATCCGGGGGTGACAGGAGGTTTTTGACGTTAGCCCTTAAATATATTAACATTTTCTTTTTGAAATATATATATTTGGATATGTGCAAAAATGCCAAATTGGTTTTTTTTTTTTTTTTTTGAAGACCTTTCCTATTGAGAGGGGTGATAGCATATGTGGGGGTCTTTTTCGTTCCAGCAGCTTGACGAATGGGCCTGGGCTGCTGTAAAGAGCAAATGGCTGGAATCGCCCCTTGTGTCCGAGTTCGAGAATCAAACCCCAAGTGTGCTTCGAAAGGGTAGCTGAGCCTTAGGAAACACCTTGGTCTTCTTCACCAACGAGACTAATAGTTGCTTGCATGTAAATATTGTGGCTTGGCATGAGAGGCTTGTGGCATGGGAGCTGAGCATTCGTGAGTTTAGCATGAGAGAGAGAAAGAGTTGTGATTTCCTATGAGAAACAGAGTATCTAAGGCAAGGGAAGAGAGGATTTGACAAGGGTTTGGCTGAAAAGAGGGAGAAGGAGACAAGGAGAGGGTAATGGGTGGCTTAAGTGATTTTCCGGCAGCTTGACGAAAGCTCTGTCAAGCACTGGAACAGTTCTGCCAGGAGGGAAAATGGGGAAGAAGGATGAATAGTGCATGAAATTGCTAGGTTTTGAAGATGAGAGGGAAGCTTGCTCTCTGGATGTGTGTTATGAGAGAGAGAGAGAGAGGGAGGAAGAAGATGGAAGAACAAAGCATGAAATTGAAGGATTCCAAAGGGGATGCTTGCCTTCGATTGATTCTCCTGGTTGCTGGGAGGCTTGCAGCACAACGCTTGGGAAACGAATAATATAATTGAAACTGATCTAAACCCTTGTCTTCGTCCATTGTGAAGTGGGTCACGCCTCTGAAGATATATACGGCACTTCCTTCTTCGTCCCCAAACGACACCTTTATTATTAAAACCTCCACACACCCTTTTCAGTCCTCTTCTCCACACACCCTTTTCAGTCCTCTTCTCCACAGACCCTGTTCAGTCCTCTTCTCCACAGACCCTTTTCAGTCCTCTTCTCCACAGACCCTGTTCAGTCCTCTTCTCCACAGACCCTTTTCAGTCTTCTTCTCCACAGACCCTTTTCAGTCCCTCTTCTCCAACAACCAAGATGGATATTCCACATTTAGCATGGTTTAAGATGCTGCTCGTGGTTGCAAAGCAGTCCTCTGAAGATTTGTACAACATGGCGGCAACCTGTAAGTTATTTAAACAAATGCTCAACGATCCTGAGGTTTGGACAACGGTGTCAGTGGATAAGTATCAGTGGCATCAGGACTGGTACGGTGAAGATGAAGGGAAAATTGTTGAGTTCTTGCAACAGTGCAAACAATATAACAATCCAGAAATCATTTACAGAGAAGCTATTCATGACTTCTTCGTGAAGAATGATGATGAGGCGCTGAAGAACCTGCGGGTGGCGGCTATGGCAGGGCATGAGGAAGCCTCCTACCTTGTTGGCTTGCTAGGGCTGTTGAACCCTAGCGACGGCAAGGAGAATGGGCTGGAGTTTTTGTGCCATCTCAGCAAAACGAAGAAACTGAACATAAAAGCTTGCAGGGATTCAATAACCTTGCGACTGGGTCGGTATACAATGTCTGGCACCAAAACTCCTCCTCTGCTTGAAAAGTTTACTGCAGGCGAAGATTTTTTTCAAGACTGCATTGACTGTGAGGGTAATCGGAAGTGGTATCAGTTCGGGGACCACAGTGCCCAAGACTGGGACAACGTAGATGCTTGGAACTGCTGTGAACCCTGCAAATGGAAGAGGGAGCTGTTCTGCATCCAGCGCGAACTCCACTTCATGACTGTGTTTGATATATAAGTCTATATACATGGTATGATAGGTGTTTTATTAATCAATGGTTGTTTTGGTTTTTTGTGTTTTTATGTAAAGGTGAAACTATCTGAACTTTGTAATGTTTTTATTTGAAGTATGTTTATGGTTTTGGGTCCTATATCGTTTCAGTAAGTGGTCTCAAATGTG